ATTTGGAATAGTGAGGTGTGTAAATCAGTATTCCCCAAAATCACTAGACGTTAATAGACAAAATCACCTCAAGCGAGTGTCGAGATGGAGGAGATCGAAGCATATCAATAATCTTGCAGTCAAGATTTGGCTTTGATGAGTTCGTTGAAAGATATTGTGTATGATGTTGAGGATTTGCTTGATAAAATCAACACAAGGTGGAGGGACGACATATTTCTTCTCAAGATGGTACACTAGTAAGATGCATGAGATCCATGTCCCTCCAACTAGGGGTGTTCAAAAACAGGTCTGGACCGGATTTTGGACCTGAACCGGACCGGTCCGGACCGGTCCGGAAGATTCAGGTCCGGTCCTCGGGTTTTACAAATTAGGGATTCCGGGTTTCCGGTCCGGTCCGGGTTTGACCCGGAATTTTCCGGTCCAGACCGGAATATATTATATAAATTGTATCCATTATTAATTTCAAGCCCAAAAGCATTAGATCCGGTCCATATAGTTTTAGATTCATGAATTTCAATTTTCCAATATGTAGTTTTTAGAAATTTTATTTTAGATTATTATTTTTACGGTAGTTTATAAATTTGAATAAGTTATAAAATGAGTTTTGATGAATTTGTTGCTACTACTTATAAGTACTATTTTTATTAAATACTTTGAACAAAAACAATTTATTATTTCAATTTTTTTCTAAATTTATTTAATAATTTAATTCATTTATAAGATTGCAAAAAAATATATAAAAAAAATTCCGGTCTAAAGTAGGGTAAAACCGGACCGGACCGGAAAAAACAGGTCCGGACCGGAAATAAACAGGTCCGGTCTTCGGTCCTAAAGAAATTGCAATTCCGGTTCCGGTCCGGTCCGGTCCGGTTTTGGACCGGTGCACACCCCTACCTCCAACCTTGGATCTTAGAGACGACTCGGTGTTGATTTCATCAAGCAAATCCTCAACATCATACACACACGATCTTTCAACCGAGCAAGACAACAAGCGTCCATGCACAGAGTTGTTTTCACATATACCATCAAAGACAGATTTAGCTTCCTAGCTCTTTTTTCACGAAATCTCAAAACTCGCTTGAGGTAATTCTGTCTGGTAATTAAGGTCTGCAAAGTAGTCGAGATCAACACCTCGATCTCCCACCTTAACTGCAAACACAGATCTGTGTAAGAAGACTTTATTTACACAGACTTCAGAGTGTTGAATAGAGTGAAGCCCTGGTCTGCTGGATTGACACAGAGAGAAGAAGACATACTTTATTTACACGAGTGAGGGGACTACATTATTTTGTCAAATTACAAATAAAAATATACTCTCCACGTCCCAAATTATTTGTCCTAATTTGCCTTTCATGTTAACTTTGCCAACAAATAAAATATAATTTTGAATAAATAAAAGTGGAAGGAAACAAAATGGGAGAGAAAAAAAAGAAGGAAAATGATTTTCTTACCGTTTTAGTGAGGAAGAAGAGGAAAACCTCTTTCTTTTGCTTTCCTTTCGAATTCCACGAACCAAACATAGTGCAAAGGAACTAACAAACAAAATGGGAGAGGAAAAAAAGAAGGAAAATGATTTTCCTACCGTTTTAGTGAGGAAGAAGAGGAAAACCTCTTTCTCTTGCTTTCCTTTTGAATCCCGCGAACCAAACATAGTGCAAAGGAACTGACAAAGAAAGATGGAAATGGAAATGAAAATGCAGGATCATCTCTACATTTGGCAATAGGCATCAGCTTTCCTGGATTTCACTTTCCTTTTCTCTTCTGTGCCCACTTTGGTCCATATATTGCTAGATGTGTCCGGCCAAACCGTCGATCAGATATCTGCGGGTTTTTATATGCCACCAAGAGTGAAGATATTCAGCAACATACATGTAAAACACATTCCCCATCATGTGTGGAAGATGAACAAAAATGCCTTACTCTATGCTTCGTCCGAAGAATCACGGAAGAAAGGAAAAAGCAAACGAATGGAAGGGAAAGTCAAAGAAACCATATATAAATATTGTTTGGTTAGTAAAGAAATTGGTGAAGAAATTATTTTTCAATAACTTTTTTGTTTGGTTGTTGTAGAGAAAACAAAAGAAGACATTGTTCGAAGAATGAGGGGTGGAGCGTGAGGGGAGTTTGGGGGTGAGGGAGGGCGGAGGCTGGGTGAGGGGAACAACGGAGGGGGAGGGGAGGGAGGAATTTGTGGTCCTCTTTTTCTTCACAAAATGGAAAGAAAAAATCATATTTCCAATTTTACTTTATATTTTTCTCCTCCAAATTTTGTTTTCTTTTGTTGACAATGTTTTAGTTATGGGGCTCATAATGAACTAAATCAAAATGGCAAATTAAACTTCCCTTGCTTCTCAATTTGTATGAAATTTTGGGCAGTAAATGCAGCAATGCATCTAGGACCTAATGGAAACAAACTCTCTGCCTTTATAGAGGCAAGACCGTACATTTAGACCTCATAGATCCCAACAGTGTTCCAATTATACTGAGCTGTTCTTTCCTAACCCAAACACAAAAATTGTCTTTCTTTGCCATTTTCTATACTTTTCCTTTCAAAATTCCGTGAACCAAACATAGTGTTAATGACAATAGTCCAAGAAAAGCACTGTCATGTAGGGTCTGTTTGGATCCCAGAAAAAAAATCACATTTTACAAGCTTGTTTTAGTAGAAAAGAGTGAAGGGGGAGGCGTCTAGGCTAGCACGGATCAACCTCTCAAGTCTCAAGTTTTAATCCTACTAGCTTGTGATGTACTCCCTCCATTCCTTTAAACCCTTCCCATTTTGACTTTGGGCCAAAATAAGGAAAGTGTAATTTTGGTTGACTTTCCAATTTTGCCTCTGATGTGATGGTTAAAAGTAAGATGTGATAGTTTGGTTATTAGGAAAAAAGTATGATGTGATAGGTAGGGTATGAAAAAGTAGGGGTAAAAGTGGTTTTTTAATAGAAAGTAGAAGTGTTTTAAGAAATTAGAAAAAAACGAAAGGGTAAGGGTTTTATGGAACGGAAGGAGTACATGGTAGTATGGTACACATGATAAAGGAAACTAGCCAAAAGGCATTACCTTCGGAAGGGCTCCACACGAATCTGGCATGTCCGTTCTCAAAGGGTACTCCACTACCTGTATATTATTATACCAAAATGTAAAAAAAAAGATCGGAAACAATAGCCCGAGAAAGCCC